CATCAATCTTTAAAAAAACAATGAAGAGTTTGTTATAAACCAAGGTGGATGAAGAAGTAGATGCCTGAAAAAAAAAAATAAATGTTTTACTGATAGTCAAATAGTTGATTGTAAAGAATTTGAGTTATCAAAAAAAATGAAAGAGTATTATATATAAAAAGTCTAGTGCGTTTTATGTTTACTCTGCCAAAAAAAATCAAGAGGGATACGTATAAGCCGTGTCTTGACAACAAAACGATTTACTAACTGTGTTTCCCTCATAAGGCATCCCCAAATAGATGGAAAAAAATTGATTATACTATAGTATCTCTTTATTTACACATAGGTCTATTTACATTACTGTTTTTACATTTTCATTTACACGTAGGTTCGTCCATACTATTACTAACGAGAGCTACAATGCTACGTCCAAAATACTTAGTGGCCCGACATCTTGCATTGATCTTCGCTTTGCATTTTTTCCAAGCTTTCAGTTCATCTTCGTCAGGAGAAAGCGGGTACCTCGAGAACAGGAGAACTGAAAGATTAAAATGAGAATGAAACAAGTTAGTTTTATGCACTAAATACATACTTGTGCGCTAAATAAGTAAAGAATGATGATTTGACCGTACGAGTATAAAGAGCGGGAGATAAGTCGTATGATACACTGTTCCACGGATTCGATTTCAATTGATAATTCATAATATCTTTAACCAACGTCAATTCGTTAATAAGAGGGTAAAAAAATTACCTTTTAAAGAGTAGAGTTTTGATGCATCCAAGGACCCTTTCCCATGCGAAAAAAATGTGTTGCAAGTCGATAATGTCTCTTTATCAAAGAAATGCGGAAGAAGCTTTACGGCTGAGCGTTCTCTACTTTTTTCGGAGTCGAATGTCTGTCTTTACCATCGTGAGTACTAACTAACTGGGCCTTGTTAACCCCAACGTTACTGGAAGTATCAACCATTCTAGCTAGCTCGTACAGAGAAGAAATATATGTTAACTTATACGATTTCTTAATCATACCAAAGCATCAAAAAAAACCGAACTTAGTGTGCCCTGCAATTAGAAAAGAATATGAAATAGATCGATGCAAATGCGCTATAGTACGCCAGATTAGATACCAAATGAAACAATTGTTTTTGTTCTGTCCTGAGCAGTTGTCTGCATGCAAGTGTACATCTGTCTCTCCTTGTCCATGCTGTTCAAAGTAGAAGTGGACGTAGCTTATTGTAGTGTTAGCTCCTTTGCCTGTGCTTCCAGCTTCATCGATGAGGAAGTTCACCTGTTGCGGAATGCCTTCGCACATTACTCCAAATATTCCGCACTTAAAAAAAGTCTTGAAATAAATAGGCCCTGGTTGCATGGGGTTGCTGGGGATATGGACTTGTTGAGCGTAGTCGAAGGAGTAATGCATTGTAGAGTCCCACGAGCATGGTGCTTGCTTTTCTACAGCCATAGATATTTCTCTTGTTTGAAAATTGTCCTTTGCTTTCTTGCATGAATCTCTATAACAATTACGTTCTTTCTCGGCACAATCTAAATGTTCTTGTTGCGCCTTGACGCAGTCAGATTTTTCTTCGTCTGAAATATTGCATGCACGCTGTAGTCGAGTGGTATTCTCTTGGCAGGTCATGCAAAGATCGGTCCTTGGTTTTGCTACAACTAGGTTGGGACAAAACTGAGCCCAAAGTTCAATAAACTTCGTGTAGCAGACGGCTCTCATTCCAGAAGATTCGCAAAAAAAAAAATAGCGCTTCCAAACATTTGTCTTGCTCTCACAAGAAGAGAGAAGTTGGATAAAAAAAATCTTATAGCCTGGTATACGACCTGGTAAAGAAATAGCGTTTTCCTCAGCGTAGTTCATAAGAAAGAGTTTTATGCCTTCTGTGGAAGCATAGGAGAGAGCATGTGCTGGACGCCTTTTACTGTTGCCATGTTGTCTGGGGAGGATTCCATTCTTATCAAAATGATCTTTCAGTCTACTAAATCTTGACTTGCTGATGCCATAGAGATGCAGAAAGGTTTCTTTGCAAATTGTCTTTGACTGGAACATGAAGTTGCATCGGCTGTGTGGTCTTTTCTCACCAACTACATCATTTCGTGTCGAGGCTTGAATGTTAGCAAGAATGACGATGTCTAACTCTGTAGTAGAGAGTTCCAGGACGTTGTTTAAGTTAAATATAATCGTCGATTCAGGAAACTGAGTTGAGCAAGACACTCCCCTCGGGCCATAATGGCACCCGCATCCATTCTGTAAAAACGCCGTAAGCTTTTCTAAGAGATGTTTTTCACTACCGGTCTCTTGATATTCATCCATGCTTGTTATAAGTAAAAAAAATTGTTTAGTTGATTGAAACTAGGTTTATCAGAGGTACATGTAACAACCTACAAAAAAATTATTGTTATTTGGTTGTCATAGTAACATTGGCCGTATGCAAATTACAATGAAAAAAAATACGAAACTCTTTTGATAATGATAATTGAATATTGATAACGATAATTAGTATAAAAAAACGTTCACCTTTTTGAAATTATAAAACCTATCAATTTTTCAGGTGCTTTGTTTAAAAAAAAAATGAAAAAAAGTTTATGCAATTGTCTAGAGCAATCTTTTATAATTTTGTTAAAAAAACGAGTTAAGTATCGCTAAAACACACAAAAACATAATAAAAGAAGACTCTTTGAAAAAAATAAAAGAATATGTTTTTATAATAGATGCCCGAGATACGGGATATTTTCAATCAAAAAAACAGTAAAACGTCATTCTTGGATCGCGTCAAAGTCTAAGSAAACCGTTAAACCAAAAAAACAAAGCGTTAGCAAGACGTTAGACATCGATCTCAAAGCGTTAACAAACCGTTAAAAAAAGATCTCAAAGCGTTAACAAACCGTTAAGCCATGACCCTTAAAACGTTAGCCGAAAAAAACAAAGCGTTATAACGTTTTGCCAAGCGTTAAACGTTAAGAGCAAAGCGTTATAAAAAAATGCTAAAGCGTTAGCCGTTAAGACCAAACCGTTATAACGTTTTGCCAAAGCGAAAAAAATTAAGAGCAAAGCGTTATAACGTTTTGCCAAAGCGTTAAACGTTAAGACCAAAAAAAAAAACGTTAAGACCAAAGCGTTAGCTCTTAAGAGCAAAGCGTTATAACGTTTTGAAAAAAAGTTAGCCGTTAAGATCAAAGCGTTATAACGCTTTGYCAAAGCGTTAGCAGCAAAAAAAAAAGCGTTAATGACCGTTAAAAACGGCCGTTTAACGCTAAAGCGTTAAGACACAAAAAAACGTGAGAGGTCACATTAAGCTTATTTTGG